ACGCGCACTTTGTCCTCACTCGTGCGCGCTCTGAGAAATTTTCCAGGGGGTCACCAATCCCAAGACTACTCTTGTTCAAGCACGCTTAACTTTGGAGTTCTTAGATGACGAGATCCCTTAAAAGGAGACACACCTTGTTCATTTGAGTAGTACTATTAATCCCTTTTTAAATTAATCTCAAGCGTTACAATCACCCCCACTTAGGATCGCAACGTCCTCGTTGCGCCCTTAAGCCAAATTCATTCTCAATCATATCCTAGAATCTTCTCCAGCTAAGTGTCTGCCCAATATCCAACGGATCAGCACACTATCATAGGTTTGCTCTGATACCACTTGTAATACCCCCGCAGGGCCCGAGGTAGTTACTCCTAAATACTCTTCCAGACCTCCAGTACTGTCCTCACAAACCACTACAAGCCTTTACCGCGCACTTGGTCCTCATTCGTGCGCGTTGTGAGAAACTTCCTAGGGGGTCATCCATCGTAAGACTGTTAGATAAATTATTTATTGTGTTCAATTTATTTGAAATTTATTTAATAAGTCTTTGTATTTAATTAGTTTAGCTGAGAGAGAATTAGGCCCATTTAATCTAGCTCTAATTAAGCCCACACGCCTAAAGCTGTTGTTTCCTTATTGTAATAGGGCTGGCCGAACTACTCCCTATAAATACAGAAGGGGTTGGTCGAAATCAGCTCTAAGTCTCTACACATTACATTCCACATATTATTCTCTGTAGAGCCAGTAGAATAGAAATTCTCTCTCTAGCTTATTCGTTTGAGTACTGTGTATTTGTTCTTCATCGAATCATCTTTATGAATACACGATATATGTTGATGTTGAATTTCTCTTCTACTGTTTAAATTCTTTCTATTATTCTTAGATTATTCGACTATTGTATCTGGGCTACGTTCACACAATTGGTATCAGAGCCTCAGCGCAATTTTGTTCTTGAGATTCCTTGATTTTTTCTGGAACTAATTTGATCAAAATCATATTTTTTTGGTCAGATTAATTGGTAGATTTGTTCTTGGAAACTTACTTTTTAGAAGGTTACTGCTACAAGGAAGGCTACGGAAGAAGAATCCTATCACAATTTGAGTTTCCTTAATCTCGCTGATCCGAAATCCTAAGGATTTCGCATATCCGAAATCTTAAGCAAGACCGAAATCTTGAGATTTCGAAGCTCCGAAATCTTAAACTCTGTAGGTCACCGACTTTCTATTTTTGGAAACCCGAAATCAGCATCTGAGATTAGGTTCCGAAATTAGTCCATCCGAGATCACAAATTCGAACGTCCGAAATCTGCTTATCCGAATTCAGCCTTTCGAATTTATAATTTCGGACAACCAAAGTACCAAAATCTTATTTTATCTGAACAGTTCTCGCCTTAAGATCAACAACAGTAATGGAAGCATACACACTTGGAAGTGATTCAAGACCTCTTCTGCTCAGAAGGGGAGAATTTGCTGGCTGGAAAGTCCATTTCCTCAATTTCATTCGAAGCCGAGATAATGGGAAAAATATTCTTATCTCTCTTAATGAAGGACCACTCGAAGTTTGGGTTGATGTTCCAGTTTCCTCAACAAACAATCCTCCCACACCAGCCGGTAAGGCATTAAAATTTGAAGATGATTACACTGAACCAGAGAAGCTTAGAGCAAAGGCTGATCTTCTTGCTGCCACTTATCTGCTATAAGCCATTCCCAATGACTTGTTTATGCAAATTGATAGTCTCTCTACTACTAAGGACTTGTGGGATGAGATTCATCAGATCATGCAAGGAACTGATGTTGGAATCAAATCCAAACGAGCACATACCCTGACTGCATATGACTCCATTGCTGCTAGACCTGATGAAGAGATGGAAGATACCTATCAACGTTTTCTCACGGTCCTTAATGAGATGAAAAAGATCAACATCCGCAAAACCAATATGGAAGTTAACCTTCGCTTCCTGAGGTCTCTTAAGCCCGAATGGAAGAAAACCGCCACGCGAATCAGACAAAACAAAGATCCTGATGAGCTGACCATCCACAATCTGTATGACTGTCTGGGAGAATTCTCTGAGGATATTCGTGAAAAGATCAACTCTTCAAAGGGAAAGAACATTGTTGACACACTTTCCCTCCTCTCAACTGAGAAGAAGAAGGAAAAAGCCCCTAAAATTACCTTTGAAGATGACTCGTCCGATGAAGAGAAGAATATGTGTGATTCTAACCTTGAGATTAATGATATGAAGAAAGAGTTGGCTTTGCTAACCAACATGATGAGGAAAATAAACAAGAAGTTCACAAGGTTCAGAAACCCTGCTCCAAACAATAAACAAAGAACTTCTTCCTCAAACTACTCTGAAAGAGTCAGCAGACCATCTGATAAGACTGTCAGCAGTGATCCAATGAAGTGTTTCAAATGTGGACAGCCAGGACACTTTGCTAAAGAGTGCCGATCTGCCAAGAAGAAGGACTTCAATTACTATATGCAGAAGGCACAACTCGCTAAACAAAAGGAACAAGGGGTTGTCCTAATGGCTGAACATGATAGCTGGCTCGAAGATTCTGAAGATAGTGACAAGAGTGACCGAATCTGGTAGTGAAAGTGATGACTCTGAAGAAGAAGACAATGGTGCTTCATCTGCTGAAAATGAGGTAAGTAACCTAAACTCCTTAATCTCTCAACAAAACAACAAAATGAAAGAGTTAATCAGTTCTCTGAAAAGAGAGAAAAACAAGATAAAGGAACTTGAAGACAGACTTGATAACAATCAAAAGGTTTTGGAAAAACAATTGTTAGAAGGAGCATTTGAATCTGCTTGCTTAAAAGACTCACATGAAAAAGTTTTTAAGTTAGAGTCAGAAGTAACTAAGCTTAAGCAAACTGTTAGTGACTTAATTAAGAAACATGATGAGAATAAATGACAATGTTCTGAAGCTGTTATTTGATTTGATATTATTAACAAAGAATGTGGTCAACTTTACTCTAAGATAAAGGAGTTAGAGGACATCTTATCCAAGAAAGGTCAACCGAACAAACAATTCATCTTTTGAACAGTAAAATCAAGGATACTGAATTTTACAATGCTAGAGAAGGATTAGGTTTTCAAAATCCTGAGAATTTGAAAAAGGTTGATTGCCTTTAACTGTACGACATAAGGTACATGAAGTTAGGGTTAACTAAGCTGATGAAATTTACTAGTGCTTCTGAAACTATTGAGGAGGAAGAAGACAAAAGGAAAAATAAGGCTAAAGCTGAAATTAGTTTTGATTATACTGCTCTCAATGACAGTTATGCTACTAGAGAAATTCCTTTGTCAAATGACTATCTTACCCATTCTCCTCCTGAGAATCAAAACGTGTCCAGTGAGGAAGAAGCCTCTACCTCAAAATTTTCAGAACCTTATGTTCCTCCTCTCATTAAGAAAATTGCTGACCTTCACTCATCGTTCAAAGAAGAACGTGAAAAGTGTAAACTTGAAAAAGAAAATCTTTTAAAGAAAATTTCTGAATTGTTTGACGAATCCTCTCAAGGCTCAAAATATCCTGAGACTTCTTTTTCTAACGAGCATAAAAAGAAAAATCAGTTTGAAAGAAAAATGAACTTATCTTCTGCTCCAAATACAGGGAAAGTTTTTTCTAAATCCACTGCACGAAGGATGAACTGGACTCCAAAGAAGCCTTCAAGAAAGGATACAAGACCTGAGCAGACAAAGAAGATTTCTAAAATCTTTAGTTTTATAGAAAAGTCTTGTAATAGATTTAGAAATTGTTTCCGTTCTTGTTTTTCTGCTACTTCCTCTAGTTCTGTTTCTTAGTGTTCTCCTAAGCTTTATACTTCTCACTCTAGTTCTATGAATTCTTACTCAAGTGATTGTTATAAGCGTGATCAATTAAATTATTCTCCTTTTTCTAAGCATGATGTGTGTGATGTGAATGCTGATAATGATTGTGTTACTCTCTCTTCATGTAATGGTGTATGTCCTAATTATCCTCTCAAGTTATATTCTGTCAAACATCTCAAAAGATTAGAAAGAGAGAAAGTTTTCATAAACTCTGAAACATCACACTCACGATTCCAGAATCATTCAAACAAATTTCATAAAGTCAAGCAAGTCTGGGTTCCTAAAAGTGATTCAATCAAAACAGATTCAATTCTTTATTCACATAAAAAGGATGGATCCGTCCTTAAATGGGTACCTAAGGCTTCTTAATTTTGCAGGTCAGTCATGTGTGGTACTTAGATTCAGGTTGCTCCACACACATGACTGGGAAGAAAGAGCTGTTGAGCAACTACGTTGATAAGTTTGGTGGGAAAATTAGATTTGGAAACAGTGACTCTGCTCCTATCCTTGGATTTGGAGATATCTGCAATAACAGGGTCACAATCAAAGATGTCTCTTATGTTGCTGGGTTAACACACAACTTGTTTAGCATCAGACAATTCTGTGACAAGGGCATGAAAGTCATTTCTCGAGCTAACAAGTGTTGTGTGAAGGATGATCAAGGAAACACCATTCTGAGGTGTAGACGCAAGTCCAGTCTCTACACCATTGTGCTAAAAACTATGTTTCCCAATTCAGATGTCTGCTCGCTATCATAAGAGGATGTCTCATCTGAACTGCCGTGATGTACATATATTGTCATCAAAGAAGCTTGTTACTGGTCTGCCAACACGGCAAAGCAAAAGTCATCACATGTGTGATTCCTGCGCACTAGGAAAAATGAAAAGAGCTTCTCACAAAGTGAAAATGACTGCATCTACTACACGTCCTCTTGAATTGCTTCACATGGATCTTTGTGGGCTCATGCATACACAAAGTATCACACTAGTAGAAAACTGGCTTATAGTGACACTTTATACTAAAATGGCACTACTAACATAAAAGTGTCACTATATTCTAACACAAATATATCAACATCACTTAGTGACACTCAAATTTTTTTACGGAGTATATTTTCATGGGCCTTACTATTTGGCCCGGCCTACATAGCTTATTTAGACTTTTCCTATCTCCCTTTCGGACTTAGTTTACATCAGCTCGCCTGTTTCCATTTTTTTCTACGAACCCTAGCTCTACTCATCGATCGATGAAGACGACGACACTGCTCTCCCAGAGGACATCGACGAAGATGCCGTCTCCGCTTCTCGCGACGAGTTCGATGAAGACGCCGTCACCACTGCTCCCAACGACTTCAAGGAAGATAGGGGAGCAGCTGCGCAAGACGATTCCTGAGGATTTGACGTTGCCCCTGAAGACCGACCAGTTAAGTTTCAGATATGTCGCTTAAGGCTTCAACCACCTGTAGATTGAAGGTCTTCTGCTCTTGAACGAAAAAGGTATGAGTCCCAGGTGCTTTAGTTTATCATTTCCCTCTATCTTCTCATTCAAATAGCACCAATTTTACATAAATTTTTGTATTTGATTAATCACACTCTCCTCCACCTGTTCGGAGCTGTTCCACAACATGTCCCAGTAAGCCTTCCAAATCTGCCAAGCTACAACCCCAGGAAGTATATTTGTAATTTTGTTTATAAAGTATCCATCCTCTTTCCGGATTTGTTGATCCACCACTTCACGATATCCAATTTGATGCTATAAACTCGTCTACCTCTTTGCAACAGGGTATTAGAGAAAATCCCAAATTGATTGAGCAAAGGAGCAATTTAAAAGGATGTGGTCCTGGGTTGCACTTGTTCGTTTGCAGAATGGGCATCTGGAAGGGTAAGCAACTGATCGAGTTCAATTTGGTACTGGAAGGGTATGAAACATTAAGAGCTTTGAGTAATTTGTGAGAGAAACTGTTAAGTGCTGATTATCATGAAGACAAGAACAATCATAAATATAGTTTGATGCATTTGCAAACGGAATTAGATTAGACAAACTAATATTATGATTCTTTTATATTTTCATAAGGCCCTCAATGCAACAATTATTGAACTCTAGACCCTCATTTATTTTACTCTGAAATAGAGTATAGAGTCTATACTCTCTGACTTTAGCGTTTATTGCCTCATTCGTTTTATCTATAAACATTGTCCTCATACGAAGTTTTGACATCTAATTTGTACAGGAATTTCAGAAAGACGTTGTCAAGGCAGGTGAAATATTTACAGCCATCGGCTATAAACATATAGAAGCAGGTAGCGAGTGTGATTTCTTTCCAGTCCCAATGTTTTGTTGTTTAGCACTAGCTTTAGTTTAAAATCTTAAAAAAGTTAACATGCAAGATGCTTTTTTCCCACTGATGAGCTAGATTTTTTATTTTATTTTTACATTATTTTATTACAATTCTAACCTTATTATGTGCCTACATGAGAGGTTTGAGTTTACTTTTGTGTTGAAAATGATTTTTAAAGTGCAGCAGTGTTAATCGAAGGATTTGAGGATTTATAGGGCTGAATTGAGAAGAATAATCCAATTTTAAATAAAGTTGCAAATCCATGAACTGTTCATAAAAAGTTTTCAAAACAAATTGGACTTATTTCTCAACTAAAACAAGAGAAAAGAGCCGCACCAGCAACTCAAAAATCAGCTTCGTTACTAATCTTCTGGCCGGCAGAATTAGTCTTCAGCACTCCGGCAACGGCGCCACAAGGGTATTTTAATGCTGTCTAGGTTCAATGGACAAAGTTAGTTTATTTTGGTCTTATTTTGGTCTTCTGGCCGGCAGAATTTCTCAATTTTTAAACAAAATTATGTTTCATCCTTCTCTCATGGGGATATTGTACTTTTCATGTGTTTAGCTGTCCACAAATCATATCAGATTTGCTCCGGATCTGGTTTGGTTCACCAGTGGAAGTATATAAGGGTGCTCTGTATTGTCGTTTTTAATTTTTTCCTCTTTCTATCTTGAATATCAACCATTATCTTCCCCATTTTCTATCTCAGTTCAAGCCGACAAGAAACACTTACCCCTTCGCTTCCATCTTGTAAGTTTCTATCTATTCTTTCACTCTTTCATGTATTTTACATGTTTTCATTTTCATTAAATCTTTTGAATATAGTTAGTTCTAGAGTTGGGCATTCTATATCTACATGACTACATACATGTATGTGCAAAGCAGATTCTAAAATCTTAAATATGTGTGTATAAACTTTTTCAAACGGAAACATTAGGAGTTTCTTTCCATTGTAAGTTAGCGAATTAGTGAATTAGTGAAAGAAACATTAGGAGTTTCTTTCCATTGCTTTCCAGGTATCTACTCAGTGAATTAAATAGATAAGAATTAAAAAAATATCTTTCAGACTTCTCCTTTAGTTGTAGGAAGAAACTCCAATTATTTCAGCACTTCTTACATGCTATCTTAGCTTCTTTGTTTTTATGTTGCAGCAGGATGTTTATTGTTTTTCTACTTTTTGTGTCAGGAGCACATGTCTTGACAACCGGAAAAAGGGAGTATTAACATTTTTGTTCCTCCAATATTCTCAAGATTGTGTTCACACTAATTTCAAAGCCTTTAAGTAGTTACTTTCAGGTCCATAAACAATGAAGGCCCTTATGATAGTTCAAATGATACCCAAGTTGTAAATGTTCAATCTGCCAATCCTATAGCCACAATAGCCCCAACAAATTGTGACATGAATTGTGCAACTATTCTTGAGAAGGAAACGACTAATACCTCTGCTCGCCAACGCCACCGTGCCTTCAAACATGATGAACCCTCGGTGGCTACCTGTAACAAGGCGGTAACCGGGAATGTAGCTCATGATCTGATTACGTGTGTCCAAACCGGAAATCAAGATCTTCTTTCTAATCCTAGCACTTCAGATACTACACCGGCCCCAAAACTGTCCTGTGATGAAATCATTTCTGAGGATAGCCTATTTTTAACTCTTTCTGTTTCAGGTAATAAAGTAATCCCACCTGCGAGAGTTTTTGATTTAAGAGGTTCAATAGATCCAGAAAAACTCTCATTCTCACATTTTTTTGCTTATACTTGACAGTGGAGATGCCAAGTGTACTGCTTATGGCAGCTGTATGCAATGTCCAAATTGTATGATTTTAGTTATTATTATAATATATCCTAGCTTATTAGTAATTTAGTAACATATACAGCAAATCTACTCAATAAGTAAGTTGAAATTTTATTTATTGAGATAAGTGTGTTAAGAATGTAGTTTTCACTAATTAGGATTGTCTATAGTATGATGATTGAAATAGTTATCATTATTATTTTTACAGACTTCAGTGACGGTGTGATGAACAGTGCTAGCTGGATTTTTGCTAAGCTCGTATGCATCATGGCGGTTAAACAAATGACTGGAAGGACATAACATTTGGATGCTTGTGATGTACTTTATGTGTTTCCAGAACCTATGTAATGACTACTTTATGTTTGCAGCCCTATGTAGCTAGACTAGAATTCAAGAATATTGGTATTTTCGATTTTGCTTTGTTTCCAAGAACATGTTAACTTATCTTTGAATTTTCATGTTCACTTTGATTTGAATTTAAATGACAATTAGTTAGTTATGGGATACTTTGATTATGAATTTGTTTTATATTTGTCTACAAGCTTGAAAATTAAACTTTTAGGTGGATATGATGGTACAAAAAAAGTATTAAAATTGTTCAATAGTTGATACTATAGTATCATAAATCTGGATGGCGCAAGAGTATCATAGATTTTTGTAACATTAGTGATATCACTAATTTATATGATATCAAAGTGTCATTAAGTATAACAATGCAAATGTATCACTATATTTTATGATACTAACGTGTCACAATTTACTGATACTTTTTAGTGACACATTTTTTAGTGTCAGAGTTCCAACCATTCGTTGACACTTTTCTAGTGTCACTAAAACTTTTAGTGACACTAATTTAGTGTCACTATAGACCATTTTTCTACTAGTGTCAATGGAAAGAAATGTGTTCTGGTGATAGTAGATGACTACTCAAGATACACATGGATCCGGTTCTTACGCTCCAAAGATGAGACAGCAGACATCATTATCACCTTCATCCGCACTACACAGAATCCACTGCAAGCAACAATTCTTTTCATACGGTCTCACAACGGCACTGAGTTCAAGAACCAGAATCTCAGTGAATTCTACGAGACTCAAGACATCATTCAACAATTCTCTGCAGCAAAGACCCCACAACAGAACGAGGTGGTTGAAAGAAAGAACAGAACTCTTGTTGAAGCTGCAAGAACCATGCTGATCCACTCCAAACTTCCAAATTTTCTCTGGGCTGAAGCTATTAACACTGCTTGCTTCACTCAGAACAGGACCTCAATTCACAAAAGGTTTGAAAAGACACCGTATGAGCTGATCAACCGTTGAATTCCCAGTGTTCCTTTTCTAAGAGTTTTTGGATGCTAGTGCTTCGTGGCTAATGACAGGGAAGATCGAAGCAAGTTTGATACGAAAGCTTTTGAAAGCGTGTTTTTTGGCTACTCCTCTTCGTCTAAAGCTTACCGAGTATACATCAGAGACAGAAAGAAGGTCATTGAAAGCATCAATGTGACCTTTGACGAGAAAGAAGAACATGCTTCTGGACACATCAGTTTAGAACCCGATATATCTGGTGTTCTAGCACAACTACCCGCCTCATCTCCCTCACCTGATTCCAACACAGTGGATCTCGATCATCTGTTTGCCCAAATATACGAGAATCCACAACCACAAGATCCAACTCCTACTGCTGCGTCTACAGCTGCTATACCTACTTCTGCTTCAACTCCATCATCTTCTGCAACCACAGCTGAGACTGAAACCACAACACCTCTGTCCACTGATCTTACATCTTCATCTGTTCCTCATGCTGATATTCCTTGTGTTGATCACCAACAAAACAATAATTCTTAGCCTCTCCCTCATGTTAGAAAATGGACATGTGCTCATCCACGCGATCTCATACTTAGAAATCCTTCAAGTGGAGTGTGCACACGATCTGCTACCTAGAATGAATGTTTGTTTTCCTGTTTTCTAAGTCAATCTGAGCCTACTCATGTCACCGAAGCGTTAGCTGATCCTGATTGGATAATCACCATGCAAGAAGAAATCATTGAGTTTGAGAGACTGAAAGTCTGGTGACTTGTGCCTCGGCCCCTTGAAAAATCAATCATAGGCACAAAGTGGATCTTGAAGAACAAGAAAGATGAAGACGGGATTGTAATTCGCAATAAGGCCCGATTAGTTGCGAAAGGCTACAATCAACAAGAAGGCATCGACTACAATGAGACGTTCGCTCCAGTTGCACGCATTAAAGCCATTCGACTGTTCATGGCTGATGCTGCACACAAGAACTTCAACATCTATCAAATGGACGTCAAAACAACATTCTTGAACGGGATCTTGAAAGAAGAATTTTATGTTGATCAACCAGAAGGCTTCATCAGTGAGAAATATCCAGATCACGTCTATCGTCTGGATAAAGCTTTGTATGGACTCAAACAAGCCCCGAGAGCTTGGTATGAGAAATTATCTGATTTCCTGGTTGATTATGGCTTCTCAAAAGGAACAATTGATACTACTCTCTTCATTAAGCATCATGGATCCGACATCATCTTGGTTCAAATCTACGTTGACGATATCATTTTTGGTTCCAGTGATCCGGCCCTCTGCACTGCGTTTGGAAGTCTAATGCAATCTAAGTTCGAAATGAGCATGTTTGGGTGAAATGAATTTCTTTCTTGGACTACAAGTCAAATAGCTGCCCGGCGGAATCTTTATTCATCAGTCCAAGTATATTCATGATTTGCTGAAGAAATATGGTCAAGAGAACAGCACCCCTGTGAAAACCCTGATGACTCCTACGTGTAAGCTTGATACTGACCCATCGGTAAAGCCTGTGAATGTTACAACTTATAGGGGAATGATTGGTTCGTTGCTATATCTGACCTCGAGCCGACCTGATATTATGTTTGCTACCTGTCTCTGTGCTCGCTTTCAAGCAAATCCAAAGGAATCCCATCTGATGGTTGTGAAAAGAATTCTGCGTTATCTAAAAGGAACTCCAAACCTAGGACTCTGGTATCCTAAGGAGACTGCATTTGATCTGATTGCGTTCACTGACGCAGATTTCGCTGGATGTAAAATGGACAGAAAGAGTACTTCTGGTAGTGCTCAATTTCTTTGAGAAAAGCTGGTTTGTTGGTCCTCAAAGAAGCAAAATTGTGTGTCCACATCTACAGCGGAGGTTGAATATGTTGCTGCTGCTGGTTGTTGTTCACAAGTATTATGGATGAGGACTCAACTACATGACTTTGGATTCTATTTTGACCACATTCTGATTTACAGTGACTCAAAAAGTGCGATTGCTATCTCATGCAACCCAGTTCATCATTCACGCACTAAGCACATTGACTTGAGATTCCACTTCATCAAAGATCATATTGAAAAAGGTCATGTGGATCTATACTTTGTGTGAACTGAACTACAGTTGGTTGATCTATTCACAAAAGCTCTGGATGAGAAGAGATTTCAGTTCCTGGTCTCTAAACTGGGAATGCTGAATTTGGAATTTTAATACCATGCACAAGTATAGAGAGAGTTTTAGTTTTATTTTTTGTCGTGTCAGTTTTTATTTTTATTGAGTCAGTTTCTTGGTCTGTCACTCTGTTTCCCTAAAATGTGCAAACATTGAGGGGGAGCAAAATTTGTCCGGTCTGAGTGCTACTATCAAGGGGGAGTAATTTTATTTCTTTTAGTATCCGCATTTTTTTAAATTAGAAAATCACAACAATATTTTTCTCCTTTTATTTGAGTCAGTTTAGGATTTTTAGTCAATTTAATTAAGTCAGTTTCCAAAATTAGAAAAATCCAAAAAGAGTTTCTATTTTTTCTTGTTCGCTGGTACTTAAAGATAGAAATAAACAATTTTTTCTCATCTTCCTCTCTCCACCTTTGAATTTTCTCAAAAGCACTCAAGATTTTCTCATCTTCCCCAAGTCGTTTTCTCCGATCATCTTTTCAAAGTTCATCAAAGTTGATTTTTTTCTCTTTATTTAATTTTGCATGTGTGTGTGTGTGATTGTGTACGAGGGAACCGGCTCAGACCACCGGAAAATTCAAAGCCAAACAACCAAACCTTCCTCTGTTACTCTAAAATTCAAACCGCCAGAGCCAAAAGCCCTTAATCTCGCAAACTTCGAATTTCCATAGCCGAATTCTGAGATTTTGAGACCCTCGAATTTCTCAAATTCGAAATTCCAATCTCGGAAACATACCCCAGCAGAATTCATCTTCCCGAGATCCCTGGTCCCGAAGTCACAACCCGAAATCCGGAGACCCGAAATCTATCAAAATGGGCTTCCGAAATCTTTTAAGCCCAACCCTTTGAAATCCCTAACTTATCGGACCCCCGAAACCCCTGTCGAAATCATACTTCCGAAATCCTAGCAAAGACGCTCCCGAAATCCCCAACCTCCATACGAATCCCTCCTACCCGAAATCCTTCTTGTCCGAAATCCCTCTCACCCGAAATCACCTTAGCCCAAAACAATTTTTCTAATTACAAGTGTTTTTATCTGTGCAATTCAGGCATAATGGCATTCATCACTCAGGAAGAAGTGCACCCTAAGGACAGTTGGATTGAGATCAAAGACAACAATTTTCTGATAGACCCCATATCATTCAAGTGTCAAGACAAAATGGTGGTCTCCATTCTCAAAGGGCATCCACTATGGCAAGCTTACATCATATCTGCCAAAGTGCCAAAGATCTACTTGAGACAATTCTGGGGCACATTCACCACCACCGAAAATACCAACTCCACCTTTCAAGCTCAAATAGCCAACTCCACTGTCCAAATCACCCATGATACCCTCCGTACCCTCCTACATCTACCCATAACCTCATCTTATGACCCATTTCCCACAGATAAGGACCTACTCAATGACATTCTGATGGTTGGCCACCCATCTCCTTTAACTTAATCCTCTGAATTCTATGGCAACCTTCTGCCCCGATCATGGAGAACCCTTTTCTACATACTGAATAAGTGCCTGTCGCCCAAACAATCTGGTCATGATCGATGCAATATTCACTTTCTGAAGCTGGTCCACGGAGTGATATTTTCCAAAAACTACGATTGGGCCCAGCTGATCTGGATGGAGCTTCTCGAACAGCTCAAAATAAGAAGATCCAATAGTAAGACCAAGTACATTCCATATGTACGTTGGTTCTCAATTCTCATCGACCACTTCATGAAAGAGGACCCCACCATTCCACAAAGACCAAATGAGGAGCTGCTAGAACTTTCGATGATGAAGTATTTAAAGAACACTGAGGACAAAGTTCAAACGCAACCAATGCCTATCCCAGAGGCACTCCTCAACCTTGTTGCTCCCAATGATCCTCATGTTGCTGAATACAAGGTTAGTATCTCTTCTATCCCTACGACACAGTCAAACCCCACTGTGTCTACCCAAGGGAACTCAAAGCCGAGTGGAAGTAAAGGTCCAAGAGTGACTAAACCAAAGAAGACGGCAGGTGAGACTCAGTCCAAGAGAGCCGATGTCTCATCCT